TTCCACAGGACACACTCTAGCGACCGATACCATGACGCACAGCCTTGTAGCAACGCGAGGCAAATTTTCAATGTGTCCCTGCATGTGGAGCCTATTCAGATGGCACCTGTCCACCATTAAGCGCTTAGACGAAACTCAACAGGTGTGAAGGAGCTCGCAACGCTGTTGATATCAACGGGGATTTCATCGCTCCAGCAATTCAACGATATGTCATCTCCTATGACATTGGAATCGCACAAGGTTAAGTCCATTACAACTCCATGCACCTAATTTAGTCCCTCTGGGTGTTTTTGAAAACGCGTTTCTCAATGCGTTGCGCTGCTGCTTTCGGGTCATATTTCACTGACGCTATGGCCTTTACAGAAAGTGTAAGCTGAAATGCTACATTGACACAATAGACAGGAGCAAAAGCGGAACAGCAGCCAGCAAGGCACGGGCAGTAAGCGGTTCATCAATAGGTACCGTAGCCTACGAAGAAGGATCATTTGAATGCAAAGCTACAGTTGGGGAAATAAGCTCCCCCGGCCTCCTCTGCAATGCGCGTTGACACTGAATGTGTCCCTCAGTGTTGGTTTCCCTGTTTCACAACCACGTGTTTCGAGCACGTTTGGAGACAATATACATTCAGCTCCGCCAGCTGTGGATCTCGCTGGTACAGGGTACATGGGCAGTAGCAGAAAAAGCTCGTGTTACGGAGGCACCTCTTTAATAAGTGCAACAAGCACTAGGAATTTGTCAAGGCCGGCATATCGGCACATGAAATAGGGAACATGTGACTCTGCAGATCGCGTACAATCCGCGCGAGAATCTTCCGGAAGTTGGCCTTCCTGTTAGGGCGTTGGGGCCGGTCAGCACAGCTCCACATGGAGGCGTTTGGAAAAGCATAATTGCAGCTTCTTTGGAAAGAACGCACAGCTCTCCTATGTCTTAGAGCGAATAGAAACACCTCCACGAAACGCACATATTCTTGAACCATGCTGTGAGGCGCAGTTGGTATTGAGGACGCCGGTGCACTTATTGTTTAATCTGGCAACAGTTTCGACAGAGATCATCCCATCGCCGCCGGCGGTTGGCCCAAGACATCAACCCCAAAGACATTGGAACACTGAGCCATTAAATAATCTAAGGTCACTTCAGGCTATGTGGCGCATACTGCCTGAACGCCGGTGGAAAACGCCCTCAAGAGCAGTTGTCTGAGAAAATGGGGAATTGTCAACGCTATACTCCTTCATACAAATGTGCAAAACTGACAGAGAAGTTCTGGGCGTTGCTAAATACCTGGGAGAAGAATGCGTGCTGGCTCGTCCCAAACACAATCAAGCCTGCTGGGTAGAGCAGCACAACTAATACTGCTGCATTGGGGCTCCACGGAGACTTACAGCGCATGCTCGTCTGAAATGCTCCGGAATCACTTACTACCTGTAGTCCGAACAGTCACAAGAAACCTGACTGTCGAAACTGGATTAACTGCCATACTGCCAGGGATAGAAGCATTGCTAGAACCTCCATCTCCACATTCAGCTCACCACCGGGATGAGCGAGATTGAAGGAAGAATTGAAAACCGCCGCACGCTGCCGATTCACCTCCACAAACAAGCCGTTCAACAGAAAAGGAGAACACTATACTCTAAACAGTTCTAGGTTGAAGTGATGCGATTACAAGGGACATGAGTCAAAACCACTGAGTTGCCGGTCCTTGGAGGTTCAAGCGACGGCGGTGCCAGACAATGCGGATGTGGTACTAACCCTTCAACACACGTCACTGTTCAAGAAACGAATTGGGAAGCAGATTCAAAACGCCTAAAGTTCCAATTGTGGGAGCCTGGGTTGTCAGGGAAATGAGGCTTCCTATGCTATTCAGTCAAAATGCGAAATAGGCTTCCCCAAGAGATAAAGTGCCTCGTATTTGCAAGGAACAAAAAGGGTAACGAAAAGTTCTAGTTAGCGTTGGTATGCTTCATGATCCCACTTGAATCCACTCGCAGCTGACTGCAACAGGTACGCACACCCTTAATGTCATACAAATTAACATTGCACCGACAAGTCCCAAGCAACAATCCGCCAATGTTTGGGATGAACTTTCCTCCTTGCTGTCATTCTTGCTCTCGTGCTTCGGTCTGTCTGATTAAACCACGCTTCGTAACGCATACCTCCTTGATCGCCTGGATAATTAAAAGAATGCCGCATAGAAATATACATGCAAAGTGAGTATTTATCGACAATGTTGAACATTCTCGTGAAACACGCTCTCTCACAGTTATGACGAAACGCGCTCTACCAAGCGAACGAATGCAAGAGGGGAAAAATATGCCGTCGACTGCTATAGCTTTCAAGCCACAAATATCCTTGCTAAGGGCACGAGGGCGCACGGGCCCAGGCAGTATCCAAATAAAGACCCTGCTTGCTTCCCAGCCTCTGTGACCCAGCACAAATTCTATGGTACGCCAGTAAGACTAGCATAGCATCGCATGGCGACAGTGCAGCCATCAATAAGACAACTGTTCAACAGTGGCCAATGGTTAGAGCACTCTCGAATATAACAAAATGGTATGCCTCTGCTCTCCTTATGCCGCTTTTCAACACAAAATATCAGTCACGCGTGGGCGAAAAATCGGTGCAAGCCTCAACGGCCCATTCACTATTACTCAGCATAGATAGGTATCCACTAACAGCAACGCATGGCGCTTTGATGGAATTTGCTTACTAACCCCAGCCTGGTATCCAGACAATGCCTTGTACGTCCTTCGTTCCATCCAGCACGATATCATTCATCTCCGAAGAAATATTAAAGACCACATCCAGCGCCACCACAGCCACAGGATTGTCACGTAAACGTACTCCCGTATGCAGCAATGAAGAACTGTTCCTATATAATGCTGCCGGGCAACACAAATGCACACCTTAGCACGTTGGTTTGTAGCCCAGAGCCTACCACAGGGCACTGCGTCAGCTTACAGCTCTAGGCTGAGCTTTAAAGGGATCATAAACAGGAATGCACGACATGTCGCATGGTTGCCGACAAAGCGCGGGTGCATACTCTACTTACCCTTGGCTTGCGGTAAGTGCACGAGGCAGGAACATGAATTATACTCAAATGCTCTTTCAGATCCACGAATATAAGCAGTGACCTGCTAGATTAATCGACCTTTGTGTGAGCCCATACGTACCTCTGTTTCAGTAAAGGCCCCACCGTTCACGCTCAAACTAATGGTTTGTTTTCTGCCAATGCCGTTTGTTTCCACACAGGCCTTCGCCAGTTGGGCCAGCACATGTCCGTTAAAAGCGGACTGCAATTCGGGAATAGCATTTAGGCGAAACCAGCGTGATAGCTTATCCGGGGGAACTTTTCAAGCCACCCTCGCTGCTGCTCACTTGCTGAGTGGACACCACGGACAGCTAGTTGAGGAAAGGGTCCCTAGCGCTAAACTACTTCAAGCAAGACACAGCAGCCAACGTAGCAACGAACTCAACGTAAGCAACAAAACTCGCAACCACGCAGCGTTAAATGCCTACTTGCTGCACGGCACCGGAAACCAGAGGTGATGAGCGGAGACACAATCAAGCAAAACCGGAAGAGGCTTACAAAAAGCCTTGGCGGGCGTATTGCAATCTACGCACAACAAGCGTTACCTCCATTTCCGTGCCAGTAGCCTTACCGTGTCTCGCCCACAATAACGGAGTTAAGCGCGGATACAGCAGAAGGACCGTTACCTCGAGAACAGTCGGACAATGCAGGTGTTGGCGCAGCCACCCACACCG